GTTATTATTGCCACCTGGTAGGGCATGTCGCGAGAGACTGTGTAGTCCTCAAGCGTAAGAATTAAAAAAGAGGGTCTGCTACGCAGCCCGTGGGTTTTGTCTCTAAGTCTAGAGAAAGTTACAGTGATCTTGGTTTTGGTCCTTTTATGTCAGAAGGACACGTATCTCTTACAGACAGTTGTGAAACACTGACTCCTGTTCAGATTTTGAGAGATACTGGGGCTTCTCAGACTTTGATTTTACAAAATGTGTTGCCATTTGATGACCTGAGCTCTACCGGCTCTTCCGTGTTGTTGGCTGGAGTAAATTCTGTGCCTGTTTCTCGTCCCCTCCACAGGATTTACTTACGGAGTGGACTTTTTACTGGGTCATGTGAAGTAGCAGTCTGCCCTTCCTTGCCTGTGGAAGGTGTGGCTCTTTTATTAGGGAACGACTTGGCTGGAGGTGCGGTCATTCCTCCCCCAGTGGTAAAGGAGAGCATTTCACCTGGAGAGTGTGAGGAGGCTCCTGCAGGAGTGCTGCCCACTTGTGTGTGTACACGATCTCAAGCTAAAAGAGCACATGAGATCTTGGATGTCTCCAGTTTGTTTGATGGTTCTCAGTGTGACGTTTCTAGTCTCGGTAAATCACCATCTTCTACTCTTCCGGTCACGAATAAAGATGTGTCGCCAAACATTTTCCCCTTAAGTCCTGCTTCTTTGGAGGTGGAGCAACGGTCTGATGACTCTCTGACCGTTTGCTTTGAGAATGTTGGAGGGAAAATAAATGGAACTACTGGTTATGTTATTAAGAATGATGTGTTGCTGAGAAATTGGTGTAAACCAGTAGCTAAAAACATCCCTGACCGTTGCAGGAAAAATTGTGTTTGTAATGTTAACATGTTAGAAAGATATCTGTCTCCTCAGACTACTGCACAACCACCCGGTGAGGCCGCGGTGTGCGCAGCCGCTGCCATCACTCCAGTTCTGGATGAGGTTACCCAAACCCATCTAGTGGCACCAGAACTTCCTTTGTGCAGCATTTATCTGGATAACATAGTTACTCACACTTCCTCCTGGGATGACTTGTTGGCTTTGGAAAATCCTGTTACTCATCTGGAACCGACCAGCTTCACCACGAACCTCGCAACTCATTGTTTTTATAAGAAAGTTGCTGCTGTGGTAGCTACACTAACATTTTTACTGTCTCCAAAGGTCCCGTTTGTATTGGATGTTGGTGCTCAAGCGTCCTGTGATGGCTGCAAACACATGAAGCCGCCACCGGAAAGGAACCGAGAACCAAATTGCTGATTGTTTATCACGATCCTTCAGCACCCAAGATCCGTGTTCAGACGGCTGAGAGCCCCTGGCTAGTGTGAAGAGATTATTTCCTCTTTAGGAGATAATCTGTTTGTTGTTTTGGTAGTGTTGTGGCACTTGGGTTAGTGTTGGTGCACCGCACCTTCTCGGGAGCACTCCAGAAAGAGAAAATTCTCTCTTTGCTGGTTATGTTTTTTTGTGTCTTTTGCACAGTGCTTAATCTGCCCGCCCAAATCCACATGAAGAGCCAGGCTTAGTTTTAGCTAGTGTTTGGTTAGGCAGATAGCGGGGACTCAGTCTCTGTAATGGGTGTTTGATGCTCCAGGTTAAATGATGTAAAAAAAAAGAGAGAGACACATTTAGAGAAAAACAGTGTTATTGTTTTGTTTTTACTACCCCATTTTTCTTTCTTTTAGGCATGGGGGTGTTACGAACCCTGAGTTCCCCGGCACTCAGTTTCTACTCTGCACCGTTTCCAGGACCATGGAGAGCACCCGGCTCCCTGGCTTCACTCACGCAGCTGACGCTCATCAGAAATCACCCAGCTGGAGCGGATAAAGATCAGCGCTGCTCAGAGAAGAGGAGGCACAGACGCACAGAGAAGAGAGAGGCACAGCGAGCGGAGACGGAGAGAGGAGAAGCGAGAGGAGAACGCACAGAGAGAGAACGCAGAGAGAGACTGCTTGAGAGACTGAGAGGAGCGAGAGACTGAGAGAGGACTGGAGAGGAGAGGATTAAAAGGAGAGACTTGTGATTGAGAACTTTTGGGAACTCATAGTTGCCCCCGGATGGTTAAGTTCCACCTGCTTGGGAAAACTTTCAGGCTGATGTTCGTTTTCCTTTTGCTCTTAACAGAGCTGACGGTTGTGTGGGTGAGTTAGTCATCAGTGGACTTTTTGGTAAGGCCTCCGGGCAAGTTTCTGTCATTCCTGATTTCACTTTTGGAACCAGTGAGTTTTAGTTCTCATTTAATCTCTCTATTAAGTTACCTAGTCCTCAGTTTTGTCTCCTGCAGCTTAAGTTAAACTCCCCTTTTTAATTAAACAGGTTTTTCTCCCGTTGGGACGCTTTTAGTTAATAAAAGGGGTTTCTTTAATTGTGACTTTGTGTCAGAACGTTTCCTTTTATTTCTCACGTTTCTGTGTTAGACCTCCCTGGCTCCTAGACCAGGTTGGGGTCGTAACATTCCTGCAACACCGGTCTGGAAGGCGCACTGGTGTGCGTGATCGGCGAGCCGCTTCAGCAGCTGGTCATGCTTAGAAGCGGGAACGGCTTGCGGTCCAGCGAGGTGGTTCTTGATGCCACACAGCGAGGCCAAGTCCGGCTCCAGTGAGGAAACGGATGGCCAGCCCAGGTCGGAGAAGCCCTCGACCTTCGTAATGGGCACATGTGTGGAAATTGGCGCCTTGAGCCTGGCAGGCTCGGAGAAGGCGGCGGACCAGTAGCTCATGGCAGTGGGGAAGCGCGGCCAGACGGGGTCTGGACAATGCGTCTGTGTTGCCCCGAAAATTCCTGCCAATTCATCTGCCTCAGTCGGAGCCAGTTCTGGAACAGTTAGCCCCTTGCGGGCCGCAGCCGCGGAGATGATGGCGGGCAGCTCCTGGAGCAGTGCTCTAACTGCTGGCAGGGAGGAGCGGGAAGCCACTGGGGCAGAAGGACCCGCTGAGCGAGGCTCGTCGACCTCTGTGTTGTACAGGAGGGAAAAGGGGCTACGGCAGCCAGCCTCGTCGTGCTCCTCACGAGGCTCGTCGACCTCCGTGTTGTACAGGAGGGAATAATGGCTGTGGCAGCCAGCCTCGTCGTACTCCTCACGAGGCTCGTCGGCCTCCGTGTTGTACAGGAGGGAAAAAGGGCTATGGCAGCCGGCCTTGTGGTCGACCTCCGTGTTGCACAGGAGGGAAGAAGGGCTATGGCAGCCAGCCTCGTCGTGCTCCTCACGAGGCTCGTCGACCTCCGTGTTGTACAGGAGGGAAAAAGGGCTATGGCAGCCAGCCTCGTGGTCAACCTCCGTGTTGTACCGGAGGGGAAAAGGGCTATGGCAGCCAGCCTTGTGGTCGACCTCCATGCTGTACAGGAGGGAAGAAGGGCTATGGCAGCCAGCTTCGTCGTACTCCTCGCTATCGATGACATCGTCCAGTCGGTAGGAGCCAGTCGGCTCCTGGCCGACGTTGAAGAACTGTAGCGCCTTGTCCAGCGAGTACGTGCCAGCCACTGGAATTTCCTCGTCGGTGGTGGGGGTGAAGTACTCGACCCAGCGGACCTTTTCAGCCACGGGCAGAGCGGTACAAAATGGGCACGAGGCCTGGGGGTCAAGGCCAGGCCAGCGTGGTGAGCCCCGAGGCAGACCTTACACTTGGCGCGCAGGTCGCTGCTGGAGATGGAGCACGTCTGGCAGGCCGGGCAGGTCCTGGCGTCACTGGACATGGTCGGTGAGTAGATTTTTCTTGTATAATTGCTCCTAAAGGAAGCTCTTAAGCTTGGCGTGAAGAGAAAACGGAGGCGAGCAGTGGGGTCGTTCCTCTTATATAATCCACAAGGGGTGCCCATGTGGTGGGCGTACATTTAAGCTCTTCATGATTGGCTGATGCTGAGATCACTCTTCCAATAGCAGCTCGCTTAAGGGCTAAGACTAGACGAAATAGAACGAACTCTGCATCAGTCACACGCAGCTAAGCGCAAGAAGGGCGGGATGAAGCAAGAGCAGGACAGAACCGGTGGCGCGTGTGCGGCAAATGCGTCTCCATGGTAACCGAGAGGGAGAGAGCTCACATTTGTCTCAGCAGAAGTTACGTGTAAGCTATCGTGTGATCAGACTTATTCAATGATGAATGATTTAGGAGAATTTTAGCATCCAGAGCTGTAGTATGCTTCATAGATGATTAGGATATTCAGTGAAACTACTTTAGTCTTTGTTGCAGATATTATATATGTGGACAACACTGTGTTGCTACACTTACTGCTTGTTTTACTGACGGGAGAGGTGAATGTTCAGCTTCATCCGTGACGAGTGGCGTGTCCGATGGTTGGCTGAACGTGACAGAAGCGGCAGCTGCAGGAGCGGGTTGTCGGCTCAGGACAGCGTCCAGCGTCTCTCGTCCCTCCAAGGGCGTTTAGGCTCCTTGTGTGGGAAAATGGTCGCTAAAGCATTTAGTTTCTGCCTTCTCTTATACCCAGCCACTCGGGTGAGCTCTTTAAGTAGTCATGGTTGACTATAAACCTCAAACGCATCAGGAGTAAAATGTTGGGAACACAGCCGCGGATCTTTGGGAAGTTGTGTCCATCCACAGGCATTTTCCCACTGCTTTCTCCTCTTGTTGCCAGTGGGAAAGCTGTAAACTCACATCACTCCCCTTGTTGCCCTCTGAATGGAACTTACATCCAAAAGCAGCACAATGCAGCATTTTACTTAATAATTAATATGGTTAGAGCATAAACAAACACCAGCGTCAATTGCTGTTCTCCCAAGAGCAACCAATATACGTCATCGCCCCCAGAGTGCAAACATGGCGTCCTACTTATGTCAACAAATGTACTAAATAGGGATGAGCGAGTACACCACTATCTGTATCTGTTCAACCATCTAAATTATCTGTATCTGTACTTGGAGTGGGCGTGGCATATCCCGGAAGTGGGCGTGGTTTAACTGGAAGTGGGTGTGGTTTACATCAATATATTATTTTAAGTCCTAAATTGATATGGATTGATCAGAAGTTGCTATGTGTATTGTTTATTTGAAAACTATTTACAGAGCAGCCTCAGAACTGAGATGAAATATTTTTGATTACAATAGTAAAGGAACTATTACAGAACAAGTTTTTCAGTAAAATCAGAACATTAATATTTAAGTGCATGGATTAATACATCTGAACTCATGCAGTAGGAACTAGGAAATATGAAATACTAGAACCAGACACAACTTTATATAGATTTTAAATTTGAATTTGATTAAACTGATTTTTTCTTAACGTTCTTGGCATTTTCCCACACAAAGTTAAACAAAACAATGTTGATTAAGGTGTGTGTGTGAGAGAGAGAGATAGAGAGGGAGAGAGAAGCTAGCCAGCACTGACCCATACTGTGACAAAACAGCTGTGAAGGCTTTGCCCCGTACCGTCCATCTGGTCAGACACAGAGGTTTTATTGCAGTGAATGACGGATTCTCTGCATGTGCTATTGCTGCATGGATTGCCTTAAACTTCCCTGAATGAGACAAAAGGACTCCAAGCTGGTTGACCCAATCCAATGAGTCTCTGACCAGAACTGAGGCTGAGCAAACTTTCTGTGTTATTAAATTAGTACAGTGGGCTCCACAATGAATGTACAGTGCTAGCGGCTGCTCTTGTTTTATTCGAGCCTGCGCCAGCGTGCTTCCCAGCCATGTTAGCAGCCCCATCATGAGTTTGACCTCGTAAACCCTGCTTAGGTAAGTTTAGTCTCAGCAGCACATCTTGAACTACTTCAGCAAGGATTTTTCCTGTTGTTTCTGGGACACAATACAAACCAAGGAATTCTTCATGTGGTTTTAGGTCTTTGTCAACATAACGAAGGCAAATACTTTCTTGCTCTTGCCCGGAAATTTCTTGTGTTCCATCCATAATAACTGCATACTGAAGAACTGGTTGAGCTCTTATTATATCGGCTATTCCACGAACAATGTTGTTGCTCATTGTTGACAGAATTTCATTCTGGATCTGTGGACTGATGTACTCTTTCTGGGACCTCTGCAACCATTTGGCTAAAAGGACATCATCCTCTGCCTTATCTTTTAGGAGTTGAAAAAAATTACTGTTTTCATCATCATGTCCTCTCAAGGCCTGTCCCTGTCGTGCCAAATATTTGATAGAACTTACAATTTTCTCTAGACAATGCCTGTTGTCTGCCTGTTGATTTGCCAAAACACTGGACAACTGTGTATTCATAGGGTGATTTTCTTGTGCAGTGACAGAGACAGCATGACGGTGTGTATGACTACCTTCGTGTGCTTTAAATTTCTCTATTGCTTTTTTCTAATTTTTGAATCCAGAAGTGATGAAGGTAGGTTCTGATTTTACAGCAAATGGTGTAAGTTTGTCCAGGTAAGTTCTCATGCAATAAAAACACAAAACGCCTTTTGCACTGCATCATAATGTAGCCAGGGGAAGTCCTTGTACCACTGCTCTTGGAAAGAGAGAGTTCTTTTAGACAAAACCTGAGTGTCAATGAATTTTGGGTGTGGCTGATATGGCTCTGTCCACTGTCCCTTGACTTCAGTAGCTCTCGGCTGTCTGTCCCTGCTCTGAACATCCTAAAAAGGAAAACAGTAACAATGTCACACAAGGCAAAGAGACTGCAGTTGCTACAAGCAGGAACCCCTATTTTTCCTTTTTTGGTTAAATATGAGTATTTGTCTACGCTCTGTGATCTAACACAGATGAGTGCAGGAGTTATCATGAATCCATCCGCAGTAACTGTATGGTGAGCATTACTGTATGTTCACATTTACTCGGTTATATTAATGCCAATTGACTTTCAAAGACAAAATCTACCAAGTGGTGAAAAGGTAGCTTTTGAAAACATTTAGCATACTATTTTCTCATTTTCTCAGCTATCTAAAATCACCTTGCTTCACTGAAGTACCTACCTGTAACTCAGCAGGTCTGGCTCTCCCTGTCTCACTGTCAGCTGTTTCCTGCTTAACTTCATCTGCTCTTGCTCTCTAATATGAAAACAGTGAACATGAATAAGAAGTTAAAGAAATACTGATTTAATAATTAATTTTTACAAGCTAATAAATCTCATATTATGTGACAGACAGTTGAAAGACACATAAGTATAATTTAAATTGAAGTACAACATATGTGTGACTCAGGGCGTAAGGCAAAGCCCAGATAGACAAGAAAATAACTTTTATAGCCCTGTTCACCAACATTCTTTTTTTTTTTTTGATCAGGGTAAAAATTGGCCAAAATTGCAGTCTAAAAGCACCAGAATGCAGAGTTTAACACTTATTTTTTCAAATATTTCTAAGGAAGCAAGTACACAATTTATTTTATTCTTAAGCCGTACTGCCATTGCTGATCACTGGTTCACTTAAGAACAAAAATAAGACCAACTGTCACTGGCGTGATGCTTTTAGATAATCTAAAAGGGAAATTTGGTCTCATGCATTATTTTCAGATGAACTAAGTCAAAGGTGAAAGGAAACAAAACAAAAACAAATCTAAAGAACTAAACAATTATTTTCTGTTACCTAGCTACATTCTTCTAGCATTTACCCAGCGTGCACTGCTCCCTTGGAAGAACAGGATCATAAATGAATAACCTGGCAAAGGTAAGTTCTTCTGATGTTTCGAAATGTCAACTTCCATCAACCTGAACTAGAAACACACTTCACACACAAATAAACAGAGACGTTGAATAATGCTGTTTAATCAGTGCTGTGGAATGTTAATTTGGACTTCATAATACTAATTTGTGGAAACATAATTTTAAAAGTCAAAGCAAATTTCGGTGTTATTGGTCGTAGAAATGCAGTTTCCATTCTGCATGTGTGATGTAACCAAACATCTGCTCCCACTCGCCTCCCAGACCAGAAACCACGATCAGAGATATTTTCAAGACATCAAGATGACTGAACACAGCCTCAGGATTAAGTCCGTGTTTGATCTCAACTTGAATGAAGACTTCATGGATGCGGTCATCAAAGTCCAGGATTTGGAGATTAAAGTCCACAAGGTTTGCCTCAACTGTATTCCTTACTTCCGGTGAGTTGGTCCTCAGATGAATTAGAGGGAGAAGAAATATATTTTGTTTTATTTAAGAGTTTGAATGATAGAATCATAAGTCATAAAACAATTAAAGGGGAAGACTGAATCACACTGCCATTTTAATAAAGTTTATCCAGTAAATATGCTGAAAGAAGAATAATTAACAAAAGCAAGTCACCCCCTCCACCTCCCTCACCCATGGTGTCCCACAAGGCTCTGTGCTGGGGCCCCTACTCTTCCTCCTCTATCTGCTTAATCTTCAGCACATCCTGAGCTTCGTTAAAGAAATCTACCATGTTTATGCAGATGACATCCAACTGTACATCTCCTTTAAGCCCCATGAGATGTCTAAGCTGCAGCTGTTACACACCTGCTTAGACTCCATCAAAACCTGGATGGCTGAGAACTTTCTACAGCTGAATGAAGATAAGATTCTGTTTCTGCTGGACATGACTGCAGTCTTTGACACTGTTGACCATCACCTCTTACTGGATAGGTTGAGAGACTGGGTAGGCCTATCAGGAACTGCTCTGGAGTGGTTCTCCTCTTATCTGTCTGAGGATTCGTTCTCAGTGGCCATCTCCAAGTTTCAGTCCTCCACCTCCCTCACCCATGGTGTCCCACAAGGTTCTGTGCTGGGGCCCCTACTCTTCTTCCTCTATCTGATTCCTGTTCCACACATCCTGAGCTCCTTTAAAGGAATCTCCTACCATCTTTATGTAGATGACATCCAACTTTACATCTCATTTAAGCCCCATGAGATCAAAACCTGGATGGCTGGGAACTTTCTACAGCTGAATGAAGATAAGACTGAGATTCTCATCTGTGCCCCAGTCAAGCTGGTTCCCAAAGTCAGCGACTCTCTTGGTCAACTTTCTTCTCACACCAAACCCTCTGACAGGAATCTTGGTGTGACCTTTGACCCAGCTCTCACCCTGGATTCTCATGTCAGCTCTCTTGTTCATCTGAAAACCTTTCAGGCTGGCTTTGGTGTGACTTCCTGTTCATCGTCTTCTTCATCACGGTCTTCTATAGAGCTCTGGGAGTTTACGTCACGTTTCCCGGCATGCAACAGTTCAAATCGAAATGGCGCCATTAGGCAGGCAGAAGCCGGCAGCTGGGCTATTTGTTATTGTCAGAAAACTCAATCAAACGGGAAATATGGTAGATTCCCGTTGTGCCCCAGGATGCAGAACAGACACGGACGACATAAGGAATGAGCCATCTACGGGATTCCCCAAGATCCGGAGCGCCGCAAACATTGGATCATTGTAATAAAACACGCTAGTGACCGGGCTAAAATGAAACTGTGGGATCCCGAGAGTAAAGGTTTTCGCTTATGCAGCGACCGCTTCATATCAGGTACTTAAACCAACGTTTCCTCAACTGTGTATGGTATTTATTTTAAATGCTTTTATTACAGTTCTTAGTGGGCTCCCTAAACTTATTTAGGCGTGGCTTTTTCTGTCTTATTACTCATAGCAACAAGTAAACATCACGTAAAACGTTGCCTTGGGATTTCTGCGTGCTGCCGTTTACGTGCTTTATGATCAAAGCAATTAACCGGCTAAGCTGTATTTAATTTTTAAGCAATGGTTGATCAATTGTCAGATCACACATAAAAAGCACTTTGGATTGCTATTATCTGTCTCACCGAGACAGCTCTCAGACAGATCCTGAGACGCTCCTGCCTGACATATTTATTTTATTCACGGAAAAAAAAAAATCAAACTAGTGATTTCTCTTGGAGTTCAGTTTATACATTCACAGCACTCTATTTAAACTACTTACGTGTAAATCTGTTATTTGTCCATCCATCCATCCATTTTCATCCGCTTATCCGGAGTCGGGTTGCGGGGCCATTACCGTCGAGAGGCCCTGACTTCCCTCTCCCCAACCGCCGGAGCCAGCTCCTCCGGGTAAATCCCAAGAAGTTCCCCGGCCAGGTCCAGTAAGAAGTCCGCTCCGACAGCTTCTGGCGTTTTTAAAAAGTATCCCAGGGGCACGGTGGTCGGAGATGTTTAGTCTATTTAATTTCTGACTATATAAAACGATTTCTTCGGTTTTAAAGTGTGAAGTAAACTCCGACGAAGTAAAATCCAAGCGGATCCCGTTCACGTTCATGGTTACATCCGTGTTAGTTTTGGCAGGAAAATAAGGTAAACAAACTGAGAGTCACGTGGGGTCCGGAGCTCTATTCATGCTGCTGTTTCTACCAACTACTTTTTTTTAAAAATATTTTTAAATCATTTTTAATTTTGTTTTTGTGAAGCACCTTGTGATTTTTATCCCGAGAGGCGTTAAATAAAAGATCATTTCATCTTCTTCTTGCCCTTTTCCACAGCACTGTAAATAACAGACGAGATAAAAAGTGGCATCTGTTTCCAGGGGATCATCAAAAGAGATGAAAGTGAGAACATTTACTGTCACACAATAAAACTAATTCATCCATGTGTCTTTTTCCAGATCACTCTTCACACGCTCCCCCCCAGAACAGCGGGTTTATGAGCTGTCCTTCTTGTCAGCTGAGATAATGCGGGTCATCATTGACTACATCTACACTTGCTCACTCGCCATCACAGAGAGCAATGTGCAAGAACTTTTGGAAGCGGTTGAATTCATGAACTATGTGGAGCTAATCGAAGCCTGCAGCAACTTCCTGATAACGCAGCTGTCCCCAGACAACTGCATCGACATCTGGAGGCTCACCTTTACCACCTTCCTTCCCAGGCTGCGTTCTGCAGCCTTTGGCTACATCCAAGAGCACTTGGAGGAGGTTGCTCTCTACGACGACAGCAGCAGGAGAGAACTGTTTAGGAGGCTCTCATCAGATGGATTTCCCACTCGTCAGTGGAAAATCAGAGGGACACCCATGTCCTTTTGCCCACAACCTTCTGTATAGGACAATATTTTGAGTTTGTGATGAGAGTAGAGTTGGTTTGCATCCATCAGACAAGTAAAAATGGCTTTTGTCTATAAATCTGTAGCTGCATGCTTGCAGCAAAATCCCTAATAAGGCACATAAACATGTTTTTGCATATTAAATTCATAAAATTGACACAACAAAAAGGCTTTCTTTCCCAACTAGTTCTTCTTTTTGTTTTAGAACAACTCGATAAAAGACACTTCAGCAACCTCCTGGTTTAACGAGACGGACTCATTACGCTAAACCAAATACTTTATTTGTTATAATTGTGATGATTATGGCTTTCAGCGTGTGGAAAATCTCAGACAATTTGTGAAAAGTTTCAATATTCTAGACTCAAAGTGTCAGTTAATGAATCCAGAAGACCCGCAAAGCATTCCTGAGACTTTAGATAGTCTCACAGTCTAAGCCGGTTCTGTGACTATTTCACCATATTCTGTACATGAAAATAACTAAACAAAACATACTTTGCAGATGAAGCAGAGCTACCACTAAGAATTCAAAACAAAACCTTCTCTGAGGATTTAACCAAATTCAAGTGAAAACAGGAAGTTAAAAACTGCCTCCTGAATATTGATGCATTAATAATTAGGAGGCCATTAATACAGGGTATCTACAGGTTTAAAGGAGCCAAATTTAAGACTTTTTAAGACCTTTTTTAAGGCCACTTTGACCAAATTTAAGCTATAATTTCCAGCTATTGCCTGGAACTGATGCTAACCACGTCGCGAACGTGGGATTAGCCATCCAGTTACCATTAAACTTGCACTTCCCCATGGCTCAAGCACCCACTAGCTTAACCAGCTAATGTGCTCATCTAAAAATAGTCCCCTTTCATAACCAACTGAATGTGTACGGTTCCGCTTACGCCAACATCATACACCAAAAATGCTAAACACTAACTAGAAATTCACGAAAATTTTATAGAAATTAAAGAATCTTGTTTATTGGGTCTTCGGTAATTTAAGACCTTTGGAAACTGTATTTAAGGATTATTTGTCATTTTTAAGGATTTTGAAGACCTTAAATTTGGAAAAGAAAATTTAAGACTTTTTAAGGACCCACGGATACCCTGTAATAAACTAATTAAAATAACATTAAAGAGTCTGATTTCATAAGAAAAAATAAAAAATCTGATTGACATAATTGTGCACACAGAAACAGGAAATGTTTGATGTTAATCCCAGATTTGTGAAAACAGGACAAGCTCACGTTGTTACCACCATGGTTATGGTCTACAGCACTGGTTTAGTTGGATTAGGACCAAAACAACTTACCTTAAATCCACAGATTCAGTCATTTTTCAAAGTCTTTCTGTTATTTTATTGTTTGTTTAATGAAAAGCAGATTTCACCTTCCTGATAAATGAACTGGAAGTGGGACCAGCTCTAATATTAACAAAGACAGTAGGTAGAAGAAGCCAAAAAACGGAAGGATGCAGTTGGAAATGCTTTATGACAATAAACCAGATTTACATTCAAGAACTTGTGTTTTTTTAAACAAGTATTAAAATGATTTTGTTTAATCAGAAATGTAAAGTCTGACTCAGCCTGAGTTTTTGCACATCAACATAATTTAAGCAGGTCTCCGTCTCTGCAGCTTCTGTGTTTTTCCCAAGATTCAGAACTCACGAAGTTAAAATCAGATTTAAAAAAGATGTTGGTCCTGATTACTTTGTGATAAAATATTATGTAGAAAAATAATTCAGTTTGAAAGAATCCCTGATGATGTAGAGCAACCAGGAGGGGAAAGTCTATCATGACTCAGCAGCATCTATGTCTTAAATAAGTGGTGTGTGTGTGGATGTGTGTGTGTCAGACGACTCTCTGCCTGTTGCTGTCCCGGCTGTGTGTTGAGTTTCCAGGACGATGGCGTGTAAAGTCTACAAAGATACCGTCATGTTCCTGCTCCGATTCCAGAGACTCGTTGTTCAGGTCCATTGTGATGATCTCGATGCTGGACGTCGAGCTGGGATCAGAGCTCGTGTCTTGTGCCAGTGCTTTGGGGGAGGAGTCGGACTCCAGCGAGCCGGCGCTCTGAGCCTCCTCGCATGGAGAAGGCTCTGGGAGGATGGAGGGCGAGTGATGCTGCGGATGAAGAGGGCGAGACAATGCCGCTCTGTCCATTTCCTTTGGCTGAGGGTCCTGGCAGGACGACACAATGCCTTCACAAAAAAAAAAACATTTCAGAGCTCATTGCATCATCTTTCATCAGTTGCCTGAATAAATTCAGATCTAGTTGAATGAGGACATCCTGATGCTGCACTAAAATCTACCTGTTAGTGCAGCAGAAGCTGGAGAGGAGCTGGAGGTAGCGCTGGTGTCTTTTGTCCTGGTAGCAGATCTGACCTTGGGACTGCTCTCCTCCACACAAGACGGCATCTCACAGACGGAGTGGCGCCTGACGCTGGTGCCTCCTCCTACAGACGGGTCGGCGTCGTTCTCAACAACCGGGGTTAGCAAGGGAACGTTGTAGCTCTTAGAACGGACCACTCGACTTTTGACAGCGGGGGACTTTCTTGGTTTGGGGGTCCAGGACTGCTGCAGTTGCTTTTCTACAAACAGAGATAAAAAGTGGGTTGTTTTTGTCTTAATATAATAAATTATGCAAGAAAACAGAAGAAGAAACAACCAAAGCACCAACAGTCACAGACTTTGTACCTAAGAGGCAGTATGAGCAGTGCTGGTTGGAAGGCTCATCTCTGGAGAATAATCCATGAGTCCCGAGGTAGGGAGAGACCACTTTCTGGATGAGAGACTCCAGACGGAGATAGTCATCTGTTACACCTTTAGATTCATGGACACCCTGATGGACAAAACAGACACAACTCTACATCAGCTGTTAAAAGCTCTTAGTTGACGTGTGGAGAAGGAAACTTTGCAACCATGGAAACATGTCTAATAATTAATCCATTAAAATGGATAAAGACCCAGACTTGACTTTATGGGATTTTATTTTCCTGGTGAGGTTGTCCAGGCATGTCCAACAGCGAGGAGACCTAAAGGAAGACCCAGGACACGCTGGAGAGACTATGTTTCTCATCTGGTCAGGGATCGCCTTGGGATTCCCCCAGATGAGCTTGCCCAAGTGATTGGGGAGAGAAGTCTGGGCCTCTCTGCTTAGGCTGCTGCCCCTTCGACCCGACCCCGGATAAGCGGAGGAAAATGGATGAATGGATTTTATAAAGCCTAAAAAAGTAACGACCCTCTTTCACTCCCTCTGTCCCAATTGACTCCTCTAGCCAGCAAGAAGTGATCCTCCAGTTCCATCTAGAGTTACTGCTGCGGAACATCACCACACGACATCAAGTCCTGTAGAAGCCAGTTGTCTATCCAGGTGCTGCAGGAGCCCTCCTGTGTGTGTGCGTGTGTGTGTGTGTGTGGGGGGGGGGGGGGGTCTTTATAACTCTTCAGATTTCATTTATACTCAGTCTATTAAAACCACCTCATAAATGGCCCACACTTGTATAGCGCGAGGACTCCAAAGCACTTTACACTACAGTGCATCATTCATCCATTCATACACACACATTCACACACTGGTGGTGATGAGCTACATCGTAGCAACAGCTGCCCTGGGGCACACTGACAGAGGTGATGCTGCTGAGCACAGGCGCCACCGGTCCCTCTGACTTCCACCAGCAGACAAGGACGGTGAAGTGTCTTGCCCAAGGACACAACATATTCAACACAGACAGAGCAGGATGGAAACCTGCAACCCCCACAGCAGCAAATGATCTTCACCTTTGGTCTTTAGGCTGGTGCGCTGCACAACCAGTAGGCTTATGTCACTGGACCTCAGGGACCTGCTGGGGGTGTAGGGACTGAGAAGATCACCAATGTAAGATGGTGCTTGTCCATGTAAGGCCCTGTAGACCAGAACCAGGATATTGAAATGAACCCTGAAGTTGACTGGCAGCCAGTGAAACTGGAGGAGAAGCGGGGTGATGTGGGTGTGTTTGGAGGACTTGGTCAGAAGCCGAGCACAGGCATTCTGAACCACCTGTAGACGGTTCAGGGAGGTTCTGCTCAGACACGTGAAAAGAGAGTTGCAGCAGTCTAAGCGTGAGGAGATGAAGGTGTGGAGAACAGTCTCAAGTTCAGAGCGGGACAGAATTCAAATTCAAAAATACTTTATTGATCCCAGAGCACAATTCTGAGATCAGACATACATACATAGACACATGACAAGAATTGGTGACTGTGGTCATTCGCAACCTGAATCGCGCAGCCGTAATAGATCAAGAGGATATGAGGATAGAGTCAGGGGGAGGGAAAAAAAGGCACTTCGGAGTTACCCCTGACAGAGAGGGTAGCTTTGCTATGCAAAAAAACACCACAGACAGATATGCACACAGACTTCAGACATTACGTAACATAAGTGTCCATTAGGTGGGGAGGTAGGGTTGGGACTCTCCTCACTTCAGTGCGTGCAGCCGCGATAAGCAGCACTCGTCACCTCTGTTTGGACAGGGGAGGGAGATAATGGGTTAGAGAGCACATTGACTCCTAGATACAGTTCCACTGCCTTCACTGGTCACAGTACCGCCCAGGCTGGGAGAGGGAGAAAGAGTTTCCATAGCTACGGCAACATTCCACATTTCTTCTGAGGGGGGAGTTTTCGCTTCAGCCTCACAGGCTCAAATGTACCAGATTCAGATAAAAATTGTTTTGGGGACAGACAGAGATACTTTCCTCTTTGCCTTAGTGTTCTGTTGGTCTACAACCCCTCTAGATCCAATAATGGCGTAATTAATCAATCCCAATCCATGCTGATCTGTCCACTCGCTCCTTGATGGAATCCACCTTTTGTGCCAGAGCCTGAATCTCAGTCAAAGTTCCAAGCTTTCGACTCATCTCGACAATTATATGAGTTTGTGCGTTCACAGCGCGATGCATTCCATCCCTGAGCTCCAGGATTGAGCCAATATTCCTCGAAAGCTCGTTAATTTTCCGGTAAGCCAGGTAACCGCTCAGGCCAAACAGCAGGAATCCCGACACCAAAACGGCAAATATCCAAACATCTTCAGAATCCTCTACAGACAGTTGAGAGAGGCAGATCAGGTTCCACTGTTTCCAGGAGTCCATGATATACCCAGCTGGCTCTGTCCCAGAGGGGCATGCGGGAGCCCCTTCTCCCGTTCTCATCGTTGAAATAATTTTGTCAATCGCATTGAGAGACCAACTGACCAGATCCATTTTTAATAATTTCCAGTTTCCAGGAAAAATGCAGAAAGCGCCGTGCACAGACAGGACAAAGAGCCTTGGGATAAGAGAGAGGGAGAGGAGAAAAAAGCATCCGTACTCTCCAAGAGCCAGAAGAACATATGGGACTCAGCTTAGCAATGTTCCTGAGATGGAAGAAGGAAGAGCGAACAAGAGAACTGACATGAGAATCCAGGGTGAGAGCTGGGTGAAAGGTCACACCAAGATTCCTGACAGAGGGTTTGGTGTGAGAAGCAAGCTGGCCAAGAAACTTTGGGAACCAGCTTGTCTGGGGCACAGATGAGGATCTCAGTCTTATCTTCATTCAGCTGTAGAAAGCTCCCAGCCATCCAGGTTTTAATGGAGTCTAAGCAGGTGTGTAACAGCTGCAGCTTAGACATCTCATGGGGCTTAAAGGAGATGTACAGTTGGATGTCATCTGCGTAAAGATGGTAGGAGATTCCTTTGAAGGAGCTCAGGATATGCTGCAGAGGAAGCAGATCGAGGAAGAAGAGTAGGGGCTCCAGCACAGAACCTTGTGAGACGCCATGGGTAAGGAAGGTGAAGGACCGAAACGAGACAGCCACAGAGAAGGAACGCTCAGACAGATAAGAGGAGAACCACTCCAGAGCAGTTCCTGACAGGCCTCCCCAGTCTCTCAGCCTCTCCAGTAGGTGATGGTCAAGAGTGTCAAAGACTGCAGTCAGGTCCAGCAGGACCAGAACAGAACATCAAAATCATCTCCAACAACTAATAGTAACTTTAGTGAACTTTAGGTAAAAAATATTCACAATTGTTTCCCATTTTTTACTGGCGATTTTGATCATTTTCAAAATATTTTTAATATTTATTTACTACATTTGGTCATTTATCTTCAACATTTTTTCATTTTATAAATAACTTTTCATTTTTCCTGTTTTCACTTTTCTCTGAATATTTTCCTTCTTCCTCAACATTTAGATGTTTTCACTTCTTCTTATTATATTTATTTCCTCTAGATTTTAACTTTAATCTCAAAATAGAGACAAATCCAGAAGAGATCAAACATAAAGCTGTCTGGACAACTCTTCATGTTTCAAATCAGAAAAGAAGAAACCAGCAGATCTTTATTTAGCTCTCATGATCATTAAGAATGTAAACTAATCTGATGAGGAAAGGAAGTGTGTGTAGGTGTGTGTACCTGCAGTATCATCAGCATTTGTATGATGGATGGCGGGACTCTGGCTCGCGGTCGAGACAGCGCCTCGTCCAGTTTCAGGTTCAGGGTGATGATGTCCCTAAAGTGGAGAAGAGCCAGCTGTCGCACCGACGGCTCCTTTCCCTGAGGACACAAACAAATGTGTCACCATAGCAACGATACTGCAGTTAGCGGACGAATGTGAGCGCTGGTGCACAAACCTGCACAGGGTAGAAGATGGCCTGCAGCATGGACAGAACATCACAGAAGAAGAAATCCCAGGTGTCAGCCAGAGAGTCCAACAGCTTCTGACCTGTGATGCAACCATGATAGCAGTTGATCTCAAGTCTTTGTTGGTGATAAATTATTCAACGTGCAACTCTTTCCCCCAAACGCGAACGCGGGTCTGTGAGTTTCAGTGGTTTGACATATCCAAAATTTCTCACCGTCTAAATGAGACGTTGACGCAAAGGTTCACTTCCTGTCTGGTTTCTGTGACAACCGTGCTGAGAATGGGTCATACTTGGTGTGCTTGGTAGTCTTTGAGTGTGTATTTTGTCCTTTAAATGTGCTTCACATCA